CCACTCACCTCAGTCTCCCAAAGGCGTGGGATTACAGGCTGAGCCACCAAGCCCGGCTTCCTTAGTTCTTTCAAAACTGATGCTTGCATGGAGGTCCAGTAAGTGGTAGGTGCTATAGCTGACAGGTCCATGTGACAGATCAAAACCTGTACTTCTCCACTGTATCATGGTGGTATGAACGTCTTTGAAGAACACTGGTGCTGATACTTTTCATTGCAGAGAGTTTGCTCCTTAACAAGAGGACTGAGAAAGAGGGATTCTAGCTGTGGTGGGCCAGGTAGGATCTACCTAGATAGAGAACAGAGAAGCTTTATGAGGTGAGTGGCCCTACTCAACAGAAATTGAGGAGAGAACATAAAGGTGGGTTTTATAGACACCTTAAACTATGTTGCCAAGCACTGTGCCAGGACCCATGATATGGAGACACAGTCCCTCCTCTCAAAACCCCACAGTATCAGCCCAATGTCATTGGATGAAATGCATAGCAGATGTGACATAACTTTGGTGCATTGAGAGAAGATGTCCAGGAGGCTTCCTAGGAGGAGAACACCCAAGCTAAGACTTGCAGGAAGAATATGTGGCATCTTTTTCACCTCCCTTACTGTTTGTAAGGTGGTGGTCATTCAGCATTCAGCTCAGCTCCCCACTCCCCCAGCAAAAGGGTGGGCTCGTACCCTGGCATGCCCTTCTGGGCTACTGCTGGCCTCCTTTGGTTTCACCCTCTGTGGGCACTATGGTTTCCTCTTATCTTGTTGTCACACTGTTCTTCTTTGAAGAGGAAAGACCTTTCTGTACTACCACATTCTTTTTTTTTGAGTTGGAGCTCACTCTGTCACCCAGGCTGGCATGCAGTGGCATGCTCACGGTCACTACAGCCTTGACCTGCAGGGCTCAGGCAATCCTTCTGCCTCAGCTTTCTAAGTAGTTGAAATTACAGGCTCATACCACCATCCCCGACTAATTTTTAAATTTATTGTAGAGATGAGGTCTTGCCAAGCTGTCTAGGCTGGTCTCGAACCTGTGGGCTCAGGCAGTCCTCTCACCTTGGCCTCCCAAAGTCCTGGGATTATAAGTGTGAGCCACCGCACCCGGCCACTGTCACATTCTCAGTGCTATGTACTTATTTTCCTAAACCAACATCTTTACCATATTATCTTAAGGTTGCTTTTTTCCCTCTTTCCTAAAAACCTGGTTGACCTAAGAAAAATTTTCTAAGGCTTGGTGAAGTCTCTCAGCCTCTAAAGACAATAAAGGTTGTGTAAGAGAACCCATAGATTCTGGAATTTTATGGCCAGTAGACTGGACATTGTGAACCGAGCTAAAGTCTGAGGAATACAAGCCTCACTATCTTCTACCCTGGAAGATTTTCTGTTCAGAGCAGCTCCCCCTTCTGCCAGATCATCTGGCTACCAACAAAAAACAAAAATAGACAGCTTTTAGTAGCTTTATGAGATATTCAGGTTCCATTTAATTGCTTACCTTTTATTTTTCCTGGGATGAGAAACTTGTTCAGCCTGAACCCAATGGATTACTTCACTTAATATCCCTGTTCAGGTCTAGCAGCCACCTGAGCTGTAGTAATACTTTCTACTCATCTCTGGTTCACCACCACTGCGTCACCCCAGAGAAAGTACATATAATACTAGAGTAGGTGGTGATCAATGATAGCTTAGGGATGTGCTTGTCTCTATCAGGTGGAAGAATCTGGGGAGTGAAAGCGAGCATGTATTTATGGGAAGTCAGACTCCCATCGAACAGCACTGAGGAGGTGTGACTTTATTCTCTGAGCTGTTGTTGAGGCTGTGGGTGTCCGTGACTGAGAACCAAGAACACTACTTCAAATAACCTCAGTGCTGAGCCTTTCAGGTGAGCTATAGTTAACTGTTCTTCCTGCCTGGCATCTGGGTGCAGTGACTGCTCTTTCCTCTGGGAAAGTATGATGAAACTTGTAGCAAATAGACACTGTGACAAGAGGTGTCTGCTTATATCTCCTAGAGGTTAGGCCACCGGGAC